GTTTATATTTGCCACTGGCTGTGTAATAGGGGATTAGTTAAAGGGAATAAACTGGCAGTAGGTTTAGATGGATGTGACCACAGGGACGAAGGCTTAATATGATGTGCTTGAAAATGACATTTGCCTGTTGCCAAGCAGATGTGGCCTGCTCATACCTGTTGCTTTGGTACAAGGGTGACTGTTGATGCCAGGTGGAGGGGGTACCATGGTTAGTCAAATTTCCACAGCAGCCACTGAACTATGATGGAATCCCTTATTCAAACATGAGGAGATGAAGGTTTTTTTGAGTAGTACTATCAGCAGAGGACAGATCAGCATTTCTAGGTTTCCAGAGGTGCATGCACAACTCCTAGTGTCTCCTCACTTTTCTTGTGTGTCACTTGGGCTATAAAAACCTGACTGCTTTCCTACCTTGACACTGTCAGGTTACTCCCTGCTCTCTGCTGATGTGTTCATTGCTCCTCCAACACCAGCTTTCGAGAACCTGAACTTTACAAGATGTTGTGGCTGTTGCTCCATGTTCCAGTCTGTCCCTGATGAGCTAGTAGATGCACAAAGGGAACAAGAGAGCTCTTCAGCCCCTTCCCAAAGCTCTGGCTTGTAATAAAGTGATGGTTCTCACTTTGGCCAAGTAGTTTTTCTTTTCTCTAGGCAACAGGAGTGCCACTCAAGAAGAAAGAGCTAGGGCTGCCCAGGCAGAGCAAGCAACCTGCTGAAAGCAGCTTGGAGCCAGTCAGCTAAGCTGGACCTGCTTGAAAAAAAGGGTAGAAAAGCAGGGCTGGGAGAGGATTATGTGGTTTTAGGGGATGGCACTGCTGCCTGGGATGCTGTGTAGGCATAAGCATACCTACTTCTCATCCTTGATTGCATCTGGTGTCTCAGATCACAGCTAAGAGATCTGCAGAGCAGGTTGATTGAAGGCCTTAGGACGTGTCAAGGGGAACAAGCACGGGACAGAGTGCCAGCTTGCTGGGCAAATGGCAGGAAGCCTGCCTTTATCAGGATGCTGCAGGCAGGAAATGATTTGAAGTACACAGCCTTTCCTTGTGGAGTGATTGAGGGAAAGGAGGAGAGCAAGAACAGGAGCAGCTGTGGCTATATTTCAAAGTGGTTTCCATCTTTTTCTTCTGTTACTGCTTTTTTCCCTACCTTAGAACAACTCCCCCCCCCCCCCCCCCCCCCAAACAAACAAACAAACAAAAGTCCAAACCAATGAGGCATTTCCGGTTCTTTCCCCCTTTCTCTTCTGTCTTTTTAAAGGTATGTGCCCCAAATTGACACTATCTCAAGTACATGAAGAAAGTTGTTTTGAAGCCAATCAGGCTGCTTAGGGCTGGCTGTGGAGTGAATTACAGCTACTTAAGGGGTACTATGGATGACAATGTGGTTGTGAGGGACCTTGACCTGACTGAGAATCAAAACCGAGCAGCCAAACTGCTGGCATAGAAAGCCCTAAGGGAAGCTGGTATGTAGGGGTCTGCAAAGGCAGCCAGGGTTCCCTTCTGTGGTATCATCCCAAAATAAGAGGAAACAGCCCTGTACTGCACAGCTGCAAAATGCAGCTGCGTCAAGGAGCACATAAACCTAAACATTTTCATAAGCAGGGATGTGGCATCTGCATTTGCAGAGATGTGCTGTTATTGCTATCCAAGCTGGCCAGTTGAAAAGTTGGCTTGGTTCTGTTAAACTGCAGACGTGCACTCCATGCCAGAGATGATAAACCCTCAGCCTTCCTCATTTCACTCTTCCAGCTTCTCTTCTGCTTGCCTTCCTTCTGTAATAATGTGAGAGGTTTTTCTTGGCTGTCCTCTTCCCCCTTGGAGATCAAACACAGGCTCTGCTGCTGAGGTTCTGAATTTATGACCAGGACCAGCTTCTTCTAGCCTCAGTTTCCATTAACAACCAGCTCACAGGAGCTGCATTTGGACCATTTGTTTTGTCTTTTGGCACCAGCTATTTTATGAATGAGAAACATAGCAAAGGGCATACAATCAAAAACCTGGTTTCACTGTTCTCTACCTGGTGGAAAAGTCTTTGTAGCCCTTAGGTCTAGCACTAAAACTCACAAACTCTGCACTTGTAACTGTTGTGTAAAAAGCTGTTATTGCCCTTAAAACTAGTCATTGGAGTTGAAAGATAAATATTATTTCATATCTTATTGAATAAAATATATTATATCACAGGTGATGGAGACAGATTGTCTCAATAAATTCTGATACTGTATTCGGAGGAAAAGTGGCAATAAAAATGCTGATGACTTGACACGGGGAGAATATTGAATGTCATTAACATGTTATTTCCTCTGTTCTGATATCACTGTCATGTTCTTCCCACTGCTCTAATCTCCATCAGTTGTGGGCCTTTTTTTTGCTCCCCCCCCCTTTTTTTTTTTTGCTTTACTTGTTTGAATGAGAAAAATGACATTTTTTCAGTCCTTTAAATTAACCACTACTTGAGAAATGATTAGAGATAGGAGGTGACATCCTCAAATACAGAAATTAAAACATGGTTTGATATTTAACCGTATGCTATGTATGGGCTAAAGTGGAATCCTTAAGGCTGTCACTATCATCTGATAGTTGATTATGACAGTCATAGCCATCTGCATAGTGATAACAGAAATATCTTTTATGACATGCTTTGAAAGCACTTAATGAAGGTAGTTTTTGCTGTTCATTTGCAGATGGGGAAACTGAGGGATGGGGAAGTAAAGTGAGTCACTCAAGGTCATTCCCTATTCCAGTGGTGGAGCCAGGTTCCTGCCATGTGTCCCAGCTCTACCCAGTAAAGATGTATTGCCCTACTATTGCTGTGAAACATGATTTATTGCACACTGCAGCCACTTTTCCCAACACATGCTAAACCATACCTGCTGGAGCCACAGCCCAGCAAGTTTCCAATTGTTCTTACTAGAGATACTTCTGGTTTTATTTCCTGCTCCAGCCTAGATATGGACTGTCTGTATATACTTCACAATGAGGGTTGAATAGCTGGGAATGTATTTGTGTGCAGTCATGAAATGAGCCCTCTAGGAAAAATAGCAATAATCCCTGTCTTCATCCCCTTTCCGCAAACCAGAATAAACCCACTGTTTCTCATAAAGCCTGAATCTGCCCAGGCATTCCCATTCTGTCATTCTGTGCCAGGAAGCCTGTTGTGATAGCCCTACGGGCAACTCAGATCAGCTTGTACCAAAGAGCATTTGGATCACGTGAACGGTTTGGCATCCTCATGAGAGAATATGCTGCTGGCCTTGAATGATAGCAATTAAAGGTGCAAAGAAGTCATCTGTCTTTTTGCTAGGGCCAGTATCTAGTCTGGTCTCCTACGGTAATCTTGTGCTTTCCCCACAACTAATTCTAATTTACTCCAGGAATAGCCACCACTTCTATTACAGGTCCATTTCATGCACTGTTATAGTTTATTGTCAGATGGTTTTCAGCAATTAAATTCTAAATTGATTTCACAGTTGCACATGCTGCCTCTGTTATTTATTTTGGTCTTCACCTGTCCAAAGGAATGGGCTGACTGTGTCTCTTCACAAGTAGATGCTGCTGCAGAGACAAATGGAATACTTTAAGTGTGTGAAAAATAGACTTTTACTTAGACCTAGTGTGAGAGGCAGGTATAACAGAGTTTAATTCTCACAAAGTCTCAGCAATAATACTGATGGATTTTGAATAGGAAAAAATACCATAGATCTTGTTCTAAGTGTCACAGTGCCTACATTTTTCTATTTGTTCTGCTGTCCTGTAGGAAGATGTGTTATTTCTCAACATAGACTAGAAGATGAAATTAGCTTCCTGGTATAGCTGCATTACTGCTCTGCTATTCACTTCTTGACTTCAGCTGAAGTGCCTATAGGTCCTATCCTGCTAAGTTAATGGGAAGCTTTCTGATAAGGCTGATATGGGGCCAATAAGCTATAACAACTTTATGCCTCAATCTACCCAGGTGTAAAATGGGAATAAAATTCCCCATGTAAGGCACTATCGGAAAAAAAATACAAAAGGAGCTAGCTGCAGAGTAAAGCTACAGAGTAAAAGACTATTAGTACTTTAACCCTCATGTCTCACCTCTTTCAAACAGCTGCTATCTGAGTACAAATCAGAACCCTAGTAAAGTTCTCCTACGCTTAGTGTCTCCCCTTTCACTTAGTGTGAACACTGGAGTATTTGGAAAGCTTTTTTTTCTTCCCTCTTTTTTTTTTAACCTGCATTGGGACTCTTTGGAATTCATTCTGATTTTAGGTGATAGCGTACGTCCTCTTTTCCTTGCAGAAAGTGCTCTCCAGGCTAAGATCAGCTTCAGGGCAGTTACTTCAGTGACAGGGATAAAAAGAGATATTAGTACCATCTTGGCACAACGTCATTATTATCATGCAAACGGTTCCCCTTTTTTATTAACATATAAAGGGAACAATTGAATTTTGCAAGGCAGGACTCTTAATCTCCAGGATCAGATTCTTCACGGCAAGGAGGGGGTGTAAAAGTTTCTCTCTTGCTCTGTCTCTCCATGGCACATGGTCCCAGCTGTATGACTCCGTTCATGAATATGCATGAAATCAGATATGACATTCCCCTGCTCCCATTAATAATCTTGTCATCTGACTTGTGCAGCATTAAGCTTCAGCCCGTGGCTCCTCGTAGCGAAAGCAGCCTGAAGGAAAGGGAGGGGAGGGGAAGATAAAAAAAAAGAGGCCATGCCTTTTTTTATTGGGATTAAGTGCTTGAAAATTTTGGCAGGGGGTTGCCAGGAGAGTAAGGGGAGGGAGAGAAAGGCAGAGACACGCACAGAGGGACAGAGAGATGAGAAATCCTCCATGAATGCGTTGGCTTGTTAGAAGCCCAAAGCGGTGGGTGTAATGGTATGCGAGCTGACCTTGAATATAGCCACTGTGGGTTGCCCCAGCTTTTTTGTAAAAGAAGCATTTGCAGCAGAGGTTTGGATTTCAGGCTTTGCAGTCATCAATCATCTCAGCCTATTCTCCTCTTTGACAGCTCTGTACAAGGCCTGACATTTGACACTCGGGACCCCAGGACTTACACAGAGGCACAAGCTGAGGCCCTAGGGAGGAGGTAGGGAACTGGAGGGGGGGTGGAAATCACAACAGGAGAGACTTTTTCACCCCCTTTTCTATTTTTTTAATTTATTTTTTTTTAAAGAAGCTACAAAACAAATTGTAAATGTAATAGGAATTGATTTAAGAGAAGAACATCGCATCAAGTTCTGTTCCCTGCATTGCTCAGTTCATGCTGACAAGGCTGATCTGAAGAGGTGGGAGAAGAAAGGCAGGCTGAGAGGGCTTTAGGGAAGCAAGAAGAGGCTCATACCCTTCTTTCTACATACCCTAAGGTTACCAACTTGACCGAAGTTTTATTCCATTTTAGCACAGTTAACCTTCACTTCAGAACTTCCCATTCAAGACAAGCAGACTGAATAGCTCCCTGAGGCTCATGAACCTGTTGGAAGCCAGCATGGGCCTCAACCAGGTTGCCTAGACTAAATATCAGCAAACCTAGTTATGAAAGCAAGTGAATGCGTGGCAGTTCTGGGAACAGTATGAGTCTATGGCACATAAACAAAAAGCCATGTATGACTTGTAGATAAATGTTTCGGGATAAACCTTTTTGTCTGAGTCAGTGCTTACTGGTGCTGACAAGTTTTGACAGTTACAGTCTTTTTAAGGTAGGTGTTTTCTTTATCTTTTCTAATATAAATGTAACAGTATCGTTCTGACCCCAGACAAAACTATTTTTGTGAGCTCACCCTTTGTTTTTGTGTCTCTTTCTATCCCCATTGTCTCCTGCTCCTCACGCCCACTTCTAATTAAGAACAAGAAAGACAAGTTCTGTGTAAGCTTTATGTGCTGTTAAACCAGATAAAGATGCCAATTTGTTGTGAAAACCATTTGTGGTTCCCTGCTACCTCCTTAGTCACAAAAAGGAAGAGATCTGGGGGTTTGCAGGGGAATTCTGTTGCAGATGAGGTTTGGGACAGGAAAATTCACTGTGAGCAGGGGTGACTAAATATGTGAGCAGAAGTGGGCAGGAAAGGACACAGCAAAGTATTTTTCCTCGACATTTAAACTCTGCAGTGGCACATAGCATGTTTAAATTGATCTAGAAATAGGTGACAAAAAAACCTCCCCTTTACACTGACTTTGGGTTCAGCCCAAAAGAGTGTAACTAGCCTGTGAATTTTGCTGATACAAGAGGTCGGGTTAAACACTCTGGATGATTTTCCAGGAATGTCAGGCTGTTCCTCAAGGAGACACAGTATTTTATTTGCAAAAGTTGCATCCCACACATTGGTTTTGATCTGTCGTGTGTTTCTTTGAGTATTTGCAAGCCACCATTTGAAAGCCGTCATTTCACCGCTTGAGTGCGCATCATGCAGCTCTGTTTCCTGTATGGGTTATTGAAAGGCACAGAGATAAATGAAAAGCTTGTGTACGTCATTTCTGAAACAAACCTCGAGAGGAGCACTTCCAGAGTATTTAGCAAACTTTTGCTTTCCACAAACAAAACTGCTTGCTCCAATGAACCTTCCTGGAAAAGGGTCACAAATGATGTCAAAGTGAATTAGCGGCTTTTTAGGTGAATGAATGTTTGCAAACATTGTTCTGCTGTCCTGCTTCAAACTAGCAATTACAGTTGCAGCCCTGCATAGGGAAAATCCAAGCTTGCTCTATAGGACACACATTTACTGCCTGCAGGGGTTAGGATGGGTATTTTTCCCTCCCCCACCTATGGACCGAGCTAAGTGCTCTGTGGATTTTGAGGGTTGCCTTCCTCTGAAGTATCAGGGTTTTGCCACTGCTGGAGGCATGATACCAACTTGATGGACCAACAGCCTGATTCAATATGGCAATTCCTCTGCTTCTTGTATTTTTCGAGCTGGCTTCTGTGTGCACATGCCCAAGTGGATGATTTATCGCCTACTCTGTGATACGCTCTTGCATAGAAACGGGCAGGATCAAGCACATTTGCTGTGTTTGTGTGTGTATGTGCATATGTGTCTAGAGAGAGACAGATATGAAACAGCTGATTAGTGCTGTTTTCTTTCTCCACTCTGTATTTAACCCAGTGTGTGACTCTTCTCCTTTAACAGGTTGCTTTTGCATTTGTAACTTTTAAGTCAATGCTGCATACGTTTGTAGGCTTTCTATTTTTCCAGCTGGTGCTCAGGGTAAAGAAAAGAGAGGATAAGGATGTGTGCTTTGGGTGTTTATTTCCTTTCCTACTTTTCAGGTTCAAGGAAACTCCTACCAAGACCTTTCCAAACTCCAAACCCAAGTCTCTTCCCCATTCCCCCCAGTTTTGCACTCAAAATGAGGAATTTGTAATATTAGAAATGAAAAATCTTAATCTATTGGAAAATCTTTAGATCCATAAAATAGAGGGTAGTGGTTTTTATTTTTAACTCACCTCTAAGTTTTTTAAAAAGATTTAATTTAGCTTAGCTGAAAAGACCTGAAAACAGCAGTTTGAAAATGTCCCCTTGGGCGTAAATGATTTCTTTTAAAGCAATGAATGAGGTACATTACAACCCTCTGCCATCCATTTATTATCGTGGCAAAACTTCAGACTCCTTCGTTAGAGAGCTAAAGGCAGAAGCATGCACTGCTGGTGGTAGCCCACTCATTGGCAACCTCAGCATTGTTCTCCAGGCTCTTCCGTCCCTGGTTCAATTACAAATAGACACAGTGGATCATCCACCCCTGGAGGCTGTTCATGAAAGAGGGCGTGTCTCTCATCTAAAAGCAGAAGAAGAAACCACAGGCAGGTTGCAGAAATCCTGGAGGGTGCTCCTTTGGCCTGTTGTGTAGCAGTGCCTCAATCCCTTTGCCTCTCATTAGCCTAATATGCTTCTGATCTGCGTCCAGTATCTTCACTTGGTTCTTGTTTTTTCCTGCCTTTCTTGTCTGAAGGATTATTAGGCCGCTATATTTGTTTATGTAGTCCTCAACTGTGTACTTTTTAAAACTTAGGGTTCTGGTTATAAGTTCAGTGTGTAGGTTCCTATCAAATCTCTAGATATCCCTTGGAAATTCACAAAAAGGAAGAGGGTATCATTGTCCATGAGCCCATTTCATGGGTTTATATCCAGGCCATCAAGTACTTGGTGGATTTACTTTGAGTTTTTATGTTTGTTTTGAAGTCAACACTCCAGCTATAGATGTACAGACATGAAAAGGAATAGAAGGCAAGCAGTATAGTGGACTGCAACTGGCATCGGATGTAGTGCACACAAAAAGCAGGTGAAAATAATGTATGCAGTGCAAATAAAATATGGGAAAGTGAAGAAGGGCATTAGAGTCTGGAGTGTACCTGATTATAAATACTAGTAAAAAGGAGTAAGAATTGTTTAGCAGTTAAATTTCTAAACTGAGACACAAAACCTTGGGCACACCACTAATCAATGTATAACTTCTTGCCTTTGACAGAATACAATGAAAACCGATATGTTGTGTAGCACATCACAAATATCTAGGGGTAATCACTGGAAACCAAAAGATAAAAATATGGTCAATTTTTACGTTACCTTTTTTTTGCTGCTTTTTTTTTACTATTTTGGTTATGTTTTTTTATATAAAAATGATTATTCTCATACCACCACTATTGTTGTGAAATTATTGCATAAGTGAAGACTAAGGGATCCATTTCAGCAGAGAGACAGCCTTGGTTTAGGTGCTGTAGAGACTGGTGAATGAAGAGCCCTTGTACTGGTGATGAGCATGGAGACAAATATTTGTGAAACCAGATTGATAATTCATCTGCAAACAGACCAATGTGACTTTCCCACTCATGCCCCTACAATGTAACTGCAGCTGTGTCAGCTTCATTCAAAGCATCGCATCCTTTTCCCTCGCGCATGGGTGGGCACTTCATGATGCTAAATAGGACATTTTGACTGCTCATATCTGTACCTTGGGGCCTACCAGATCTGAGGGCAACGTAGTGCCTGCTCATTTGACTTGCACAGCTGCAAAGCTTCCAGCACAAATGCTACTTGAACACTTCTGTGTGGGGGTTGGATGTGCAGGCACATCGCTCAGTTGAAGAGGAAAAAATAGACAACAAACTCTCAAGGCTTGGTGGAGTGAGCCACCCTCCCCAAGCACGAGATTAAAGCAGTGGATTTTCAAGTAGTTCTTCAGAGTGACTAATTTATATGGATATCAAGGATTCAGTTGGAGAATTAAAAAAAAAGTAACTAGGGGAAAATATGATGCTCTCTAAGTCCCAGTGATATGCCACATTCATTTTACTAGAGAGTTTATTCTTTAGTACTTTCATGGATTGACATGAGGGAGGAATTCACATGTCAGGACAGATAAAATCTCCCTCCTGCCAAAGGAGTCTATTCAGACATGCATGTTAGTAGGTTGATAACTTATTCTGTATTGCAGAGGACTCAAAGATAGACATTTCTCCTTTTATCTCCATCTCTGCGCTCCCTGCATACTAAAGATATGGGGAAATAGCAAGATACATCTTAACTAGCCCTCTCAGAGAGGAGCGACTTTTCCTAGTCCATGGCAAGAGATGCAAACTTAAAGGAATAAGGTGTCACACAGACTAATAGCAAATACATTAGCAACGTTTATGCGCATAATTTGAGCCCTGTGTGAATATTGCTTAAAAAAATACAAACCCTGGACTTTGTGGTTAATTTTTTTGCCAAGAAAAATGCACAGTATTGCAATGCTCTTGTTTCATGTTACCCCGCTAGAGGCGTGGGGAATAGGTTGAGAAAGATGGGGGACCAGAACAAATAAAGCACATTGAAGTATCCATCTCTGATGTGCTTTCTAAACACTCATGAAACCTCTGTGTTTTTCTGGGAGATAGGCCCATTCTCCTTTTAAAGAGTGGGGAATTGAGTCAAACAACTTTACTCCTTGACCAGAGCACTAGAAGTAGAAGTATGTCTTCTCTTCAAACTGGAAGTAAAATTCTGGAATATTTAATCGTATGCTTGAGCTGATTATTTAGTATATTTTTTATTTTCTAGGACAATCAAATGGCCTCATTTTAGGGAAACTGTTTATTTAGGAGCATTAACTTATATCAGTGTCATTCCTAAGGAGTCTTGTGTAGAAAATGGGGGATGAAGATCCTCTACCGTATGGCTCAGAGCACCTCTGAAGTGCCCCCTGGAAAAAGGACTTTTTCTTTTCTCCTTCCAGTGATGACACTGGAAGAGTAGCCTCTTTCACTGGGTGTTCTGGGGCTAAACTTGTGGGTAGGAAATAAATCAGGCAGAGTAGGAACTTTTCTAGACTTTCTCTCATCCTTCCAACTCAGTTCCCAAGAGCAAATTCCTCTTATTTTTAAGCAGCCCATATACATAGATTGAGATTAAAGTGGTTTAGAAAGTGTTATATATAGATGTGTATACATACCTAAAATATTTGCTTAGATGTATCTTATCTAAACTGCTGCATGTATCTAAATTTCCCAGGCTTGAACCTTGGTTTGTGTAAATTGATGTTGTCTCACTGTCTTTGAGTAAGCTTATTTACGTCAGCTCTGGCATTAGTTCTCTGTATTCCAGCC